TGTTTTTCTCCTTTCATCCCTCTAAATAAATATTTACCTTTCCTATAATTCATTATACTCTTCTGGGGTGTGTGTTTTTGCTCTGTGGGAGTTGGAACAGATGCCTTTGAGGGGTGAATGGAACTTTTCCTACTGCATCCCTGCACATGCCTTCTCTTGGCCAGAACTGCCTGCAGAGCAGACTTCATCTTGGACACAAGGTTACATAAATAGTACCTTCTCTGTTTTCTTGTACAACTGGAATGTTGGCATGGCGGCAACTTTACAAGAATTAGCCACATCCTAGGAAAGAGAGAGAAGCTTCGTCAAATCACCTAATGCAATGGTGCTAGAATCATTCATTAAAACCTAAGAGCCTGCTCTCAGGTGAACAGCTATAATAATTAAGAATGAATGAGCCAAGAGAAATACAGGACATTTACCTGTAAGATAAAAAACCAGAAAAAAAGCTATGTGCACAGAACCATTGAGCTATTATATGGCAAGATAAAATCATAGCACACGGCACCCAGAATTATTACTCATGAGAACAACTTACAAAAGCACTCATGTGTGCTTGTCATTCACACTGAATACAATTGAGTGACTTAGTGCTTTTGCAGATTTGTACACGAGGAGTCAAATTCCTGATTCACAGGGTCAGACATAGACACACAATGCTGATGTCTGACAATGCCTATGAATGTAGACAGTTTTCTGGGCCACATTTTCTTTTCTTTGATGGGACGTATCCAGCCCATGAGCTCCCTTGTTACCATACTCCTTGCACAACGTCTGCAACAACTTAATTATTCACAATTTTCTCTCCCCACTTGATAAAGGAACAAGAGCTTGAAGGTGCTGTTGAGATTTTTTTTCTACCTCTTTCACATGCTGATGTGAAAGCGTCTATATATTTCACAGCTGTACACAAAAGCAGACATTGCTACAACATGGTAAATAAAAAATCAGCTCCTTAAATAGAGGCAGTGGACTGTCCATTTAATGTTTGGCTGGAGATCTATGCTCTTTTTAGTAAAATGTTATAGACTTTTGTTTGCTTTGGCTGTTAGCATGACCGGAGGTTTAGATTTTATAGGCGCAGCTCTGATATTTGGGTCCTCTCCCTTTGCCATATCCCAATTTTTTACACTTGGTATCTGATCACCCAATCTGCTGGTATAAAGTGGTGTAACTGAGCTACAAGTGAGGATATAACATTGCACAATGGAGAGCAAGTAAAGAGGTGTGCTCTGCTCTTAAGCACAATGGAGAATTAAAAATTCCAGGCCTCTTCTAGGTGAACATTTTTAAAAAGCAGGCAACTCGCAATCTCTTTACTGTCTACATCAGTGTTGGTAATTCACAATAGCTGTATCAGGGACTTGGCCCTGAATCTGGTCTAAATGACACCAGTGTAAATCAGGAGTAATTGCACTGAACCAAAAGTAATTTGAATCTGGTTCCATTTTATTTGAATGATCAACATTTGGACAGTAGGCAGCCATTTCACAGAGATGTTCTCTTCTGGTCCATTTCTAATCTATATCACATCACTAGTTAAAGGGGCTATGTCTATATAGCAGTATTGTTTCTGAACAACTGATGTTATTCCAAAATAACATAGTCCGTGTCTACACTACAATCAGTTATTTTGACATAATGTCGAAATAATGTTGAACTGGAGGACTTCTTACTCTGACTCCTGTAACCCTCATTTTACGAGGAGTAAGGGAAGTCGGAGGAAGAGTATTCTAACTTGGACTTCCTGCTGTGTGGATAGCACCAAAAGCCAAAACACGCTATTTCGACTTAAACTACGCAATTGTCGTAACTTAAGTAAACATAGCTTATTTCAGCTTTAACCCAGCTGTATAGAGGTACCCTAAGATTCCCTGTGGAAATGGGCTTATATCTTTTATAGTCAGTGGGACTGACTTTGTAGGTGAGACGTTACTTATTAAATGCACATGGATTTTTTAAGATTATGGACTAACTTTGTTGAACATTAAAGACATGTTTTGGGATCTACTGATGGTAAAACCCAGATATTTATTTATTATTAATTATTAATTATTATTATTATACATCAGCATGATTTAGGGATGTAAGCGACTAGTCTCTTTCTCCCCCCTTGCTGCCTCTATCAGCTAACCCTGCTGCAGTTCCACAGTTCTCTCCCATCAACTAATCGACTAGTCGATAGAAATTCCATCAACTGGTCGATTGGCTGATTAAACGCCATTTAACATCCCTACCGTGATTTCAGTGAACATGGTTTCCATAGCTTACCTCTGCCAGATCGATATCCACACTACAGAACACGACATTGTCATACCGAACAGCCAGGTCCTTTAGGATAAATGTAATAAATATATTTGTTTGCTGAAGTTTCATTAACAAGCACCACAGTATGTCAACATTACCTCTGCTGTACAAAAGCTACACTATTACATAGCAGGAGTTTTGTATTAACTCTCGGAAGTAGTAAGAGCCCAAGACAGTCTGTGTGATTGTCTCTGGATATGGTATGTTCTGATGGAATGATTATTCTGCTGTGATTGCCCACAATACTTCTACAACTACTGGGTGTCCCTAATTGGTTTTACTTTCCGTTCTGGGCTGAGAATGAACTCTGCTTGTATCCCATAGTCCCCTTCCAGATGGGTCATTGTAGAGGCAAATTGGCAGAACACTGTTGGGAAGCTTCCTTAACTGCTGGACTTGTTACAGGGATAGAGAGCGTTAGGGGACCAGGGCTGGCTTCTCACTAGCACTACATTCAAGTCATTAGACTAGTTAGCTTATCCTTTACCCAGAAATTCTGGAAGAATATTGGGAGAGATTTGATGAAATTCAAAACCAAAACCTTGGAGCCAAAGGCTACTGATCTTTGTGGGTTTGCTCCCAGATCTAAATGTCACATTTGGCCACTAATGTTATACTGGAGTTCAGCTCCAAACATCTCCCAGAACTGCTGGTGTTTGGAATCCACCGCCCAGCTCACAGCAGGAGCCTGCCTAGATATGTGCTGTCCAGCAGATTTAACAGGAACAGGACAGGAGCAAGTCCTGGCCCAGCACTCAGCCAGCATCCTGTGCTGGGGAGGACACTAGACTTTTCCCCAAGCTCTGGAATGGCTCTTCACCCATTAGTGCGTTATTACATGGTGCTTGCCTCTGCTGTGCCCCTGCCTTTATTTCATTTGTTGGACTGTCTAGTATGACCATGTAGTCATGGTGCCATTGGTCAGATCATCACCCTTCCCTTAGCTCAGCCCTCTCTTGCCCTAAATCCAACCACACTGCATAGACTTCTGGGATCCTGCCTTTGCCCTATGCAGTGGAACTGGCACAGTGCCACGAAGTCCAGGCAGTGTGAGATGAAACACAGTGTTTGCCCCCTCGCACTTGCACAGGGCTTGGCATTTTCTGAGCAGTCTAATCCATGGACTCACCCTCCTCTTCCATTTCTTTCAACATCTGACAGGATGGCAGGCCCTAGCTTCATTCCATTGGCAGCAAGAGTGTGATGATATGGCAGTGCTGAATCAGGCCCACCATTTCTCAGGAAATACCAGAAAGTTCCAGGGAACTGGAATCCCTTCAGGGGCTCTCTCATGTCATTAGCTGCTCATTTTATGCTAATAGCGTGTGGGTCAAGCCTCTCATTAGGCACTGCCTGATTAAAACAGTTGCTGAGCAACAAATGAGCCTAACTGGAACACAGCACTTATCCACAGGGAGCCAAATAGAAAAAAAATATAAGGGGCGGAGGGGCTTTTTAATTCTCCATCCTGTGCCATTAGCCTGGTGTCCTCCTAGCAGGGATCACTAAGTCAGCCTTCAGCTCTTTTTTGCAGGCAGTGATCCTTCCTGACAGGTCACTGGGAGCAGCTTTCGAGGCAGCGTTCTTCGGTTTTCCACAGGCAAGACACTGAGTGACTGGAACAAGTCCTGACCCTGATTTTAACATAAGCCCATATCACTTGCTCATTCAGTTGTTTGTAATACTGTGATGATGCCTCTTTTGCTTTCCCTTGAATAGAAATCAGGAGCAACATCATTCCCCTGAAGGGATTCCAGCTCCCTGGCACGTTCTAGTATTTCCTGAGAAATGGTGGGCCTGATTCAGCACTGCCATATACGCCAGTATCACACTCTTGCTGCTAATGGAATGAAGCTAGAGTCTGTCATTCCTGTCAGATGTCAAAAGAAATGGAAGAGGAGGGTGAGTCCATGGATTAGACTGCTCAGAAAATGTCAAGTCCTGTGCAACTGTGAGGGGAAAAACACTGTGTTTCATCTCACACTGCCTGGACTTTGTGGCACTGTGCTGGTTCCATGACATAGGGCAAAAGCAGGATCCCAGAAGTCTACCAATAAACTAGGCAAATACAACTTAAATGGGACGACTATAAGGTGGGTACATAACTGGCTGGATAACCGTTCTCAGAGAGTAGTTATCAACGGTTCACAATCCTGCTGGAAAGGCATAACAAGTGGGGTTCCACAGCGGTCTGTTTTGGGACCAGTTCTCTTCAATGTCTTCATCAACTATTTAGATATTGGCATAGAGAGTACGCTTATTAAGACTGCAAATGATACAAAGCTGGGAGGGGTTGCAACTGCTTTGGAAAATAGGGTCATAATTCAGAAAGATCAGGACAAACTGGAGAAATGGTCTGAGGTAAATAGGAAGAAGTTTAATAAGGACAAATGCAAAGTACTCCACTTAAGAAGGGACACTCAGTCTCACACCTACAGAATGGGAAGTGACTGTCTAGGGAGGAATACTGCAGAAATGGATCTAGGGGTCATAGTGGACCACAAGCTAAATATGAGTCAACAGTGTGACGCTGTTGCGAAAAAAGCAAACATGATTCTGGGATACATTAACAGGTATGTTGTGAGCAAGACACGAGAAGTCATTCTTCCGCTCTATTTTGCACTGATTAGTCCTCAGTTGGAGTATTGTGTCCAGTTCTGGGCACCACATTTCAAGAAAAAATGTGGAGAAATTGGAGAAGGTCCAGAGAAGAGCAACAAGAATGATTAAAGGTCTAGAGAACATGAGACTGAAAGAATAGGGCTTGTTTAGTTTGGAAAGGAGAAGACAAACAGTGGACATGATAGCGGCTTTCAGGTATCTAAAAGGGTGTCACAAGGAGGAGGAAGAAAAATTGTTCTCCTTGGCCTCTGAGGATAGGCCAAGAAGCAATGGGCTTAAACTGCAGCAAGGGAGGTTTAGGTTGGACATTAGGAAAAAGTTCCTAACTGTCAGGGTGGTGAAACACTGGAATAAGTTGCCTCGGGAGGTTGTGGAATCTCCATCTCTGGAGATATTTAAGAGCAGGTTAGGTAGACATCTGTCAAGGATGGTCTAGATGGTACTGGGTCCTGCCATGAGGGCAGGGGACTGGACTCAATGACTTTTCGAGGTCCTTTCCAGTTCTAGTGTTCTATGATTCTATTCCCTATATGAAAGCGAAAGATGGCAAGATAATCCCTAATCTTTCAAAATACTTTCTGCAGTTATGCTAGTGAGCTCTTGGGAAGCTGGGAAGTCTTTGAACTTGCATGGGAAGTGGAGATCAGGTGTCAGGGATCCTAAATAAAGGGGCAGTTGCACCACTTCAGTATAAACCAGATTTATACTGACGTGGTGCACAGCAACCAGAACACATCAGTGAATCTGTTCCCATATATTTGCTACTGATTTGGGGCCAGAACCCTGAGTCTCATGTTGAGGGGCCCATCTCATCACAAGGAGGCCCCATGAAGCCAATGTGACTATTCGCAGAGTGAGAATAAGGATCAGAATAGACACCTTGGCAATCCAGACTCCATCAACGTTTTAATGCCAAGGGGATGACATGCAATACAGCATTCTCCAAAGAATTCCCTGTTGAAATCTCCAGAGAACGTTGTTCTGTGCTAACAATGGAGTGAAGCCATTTTCTTTAGTATTTGCCAAAATAGTAAATCCTGTACATCTGTACAGACTGAAAAGCAGAACCCAGAACCAAAATCCCGGTCTTTCCTGGGCCAGCCTCAGCCATGGCAACACTAGTGAATTGCTGACGGTTCTCAACAGCGAGTCTCTCGGTAGCAGCCCTGGCATGGATATTTATCCTGAAAAAGACACGTTTTGTTCTTGGCCTCTGTGCAGTGGACTTCAGGAAATAGACCAGACCGGCCACCTAAGAAGTAACTAGTGCACAGTGGGATAGTAGCCAAAAGCCTCTCTCTGTGTCTCCTTTTATGACAGAAAAAGTACCACACGGGCAGTGAAAGCATCCATCTCAGAGACCACTTCTAGGGCTGGAGGGCTGCTCCTGAGGGCATTCTGTGCCCCCATATTAAAAATTCTCACAAAATATTTTAAAATTCTGCCAGTTTTATTTGTTAATGAATAAACGCAGAGACTCCTGCATGGCAGTGGGGAGCACACGTCCCTGGCTCCATGAAGGGGAGAGATCACCATGCAGAGCCCCCACTCTCAGGCTGCACCCATCCTTGGCACAGCAGAAGGCCTGGGCCGACCCTGGATGAGGGGAGAGATCACCATGCAGAGCCCCCACTTTCAGGCTGCACCCATCCTTGGCCTCTGGGCCGACCCTGCGACCTTGCCCCCCTGTGACTGGTGCACCATGTGTGGAGCAGGCAGGATCCAAGCGTAAAGAAGTCTCAGAGGTGGAGATCCAGGTGTGGGGTGACAGAGTTCTGTGTGGGACAATCTGGGCATTGCAATGGGGCAGGTGTAGATATGGATAGGCATAAAGGCTCATTGGGGGTTACAGGTGCAGGGGCACTGGGACTCTGCAGCGGCTTCCAGTTGAAGATGGCTGGGGCTCAGCAGAGGGGCCTTGGGGTCTCACCGGGGGGCCCTGGATACTGCAGGAGTGAGGCTTGGTGGGGTCAGAGTCTGAGTATAGCTAGCTGGGGGTCAGAGGCATGGGGCAGGTGGGGTCAGAGTGAGGCAGGTGGGTGGGGTTCATCTGCATGGTGGTTTGAGTTCAGGGAGCTCAGCAGGGGGTGGTCTGGATGCAGGGATGGAGGTCTGGGTTATTTCAGATGCACAGGCGAGGTTCAGTGGGATGGGATTTGGGGATGGAAGATTAGGCATGTACTGGGTGAGGCTTAGCAGGGATGTCTGGGTATGGGAGATTCAGATGCTTGGGGTTGGTTGGGTGGGGGGACAAATCCCCTTACAAGGACCCCTCCCCTGTAGCTGAGGAACAATGGGTACAGGAAGCAGGATGCTGAGCGTCATGCAGCTGGGGAAGGTTTCTGGGGGTGGGAATTGCCAGAGCCCCAGTTAATTCTTTCAGGGGAAGAGGAAGCCCTGTCCTCTCCAGCCTTCAGCTCAGCTGGGACTAGCAGCTGAACCCAGCTCAGGTTAAAAGCAACTGGCTGGGATGTCTCCCTGCCCTAAAGTGTCTGCTGCTCTGGGTGCTTGAAGGGACGTACCAGTGCTGCTTAAGAGTAGTGTGTGACTGCTCTTGCAGCTTCACTTTACTTCCTCTTCCAGAAAGTCATTTTTCTGAGGGGAAGCAAAGAAATCTGCAGGGGACATGAATTCTGTATACACACACTGACGGAGAATTCCTCCAGGAGTCGAGAGCAGAGCACCGAATCAGAGAAGACGGAGAAGGCCTATTAGATCATCCTGTCCATTTCCCTGACAATGCAAGACTCCATTATAGGGAGCTGTTACAGTATTCTGCAGGACTGCCCAACAGACAACTATGGTCAGC